GGAAGGGCATGGAGAGAGGACTGCAGGGTGGGGGTCTGCGAGGACAATGGAGAGAGGGCGGCAGGGTGGGGGGCTCCCTGAGAGGCTGATGGAGAGAGGACTGCAGGGGCTTCCTAACGAGGGGAGTATAGGAGTAGAGGTGTGGGGAGGGAGAACGGAGAGCTGGATCCTTCCGGAAAGATGGGTTAGGACTGCGTGCCACAGTCTGGGTTGGGCAGGGACAGAAGTGCAGTGTGGGCGCCTTGAGGGTCAAGAGGTTCTTTTTCTTTAATGTGTTTGAGTAGTCCAGGTTGGCCGGACCCTGCTAGGTAGCTGGGAATGACCATGAATTCTTGACCCTCCTGTTTCCTAAAATTTGAGATTACACGGGGTTGGGATGAGGGTCTTGATATATCCTGGTACAGAGCTGGTAAAGTCAACGGGCTATGGGAACCCGAGGAGTGGCATTTGTGACAAAGATCAGCACTTAAACCCTATACTTCAAACCCGAGTCCTGACACCTCTCTGCCCCCGAAGAGATGGTGGTCGGAAAGATCCGTATTGAGCAGTCCTCACCCCATCGTGTTCCATCCACCCTAGCCACTTTACATATCTGTGAAATGTATAATAACTTTTTCTCATAAGGGTCATGACTGAGCACTGTATAACAAAAGGCAGATTAACAAAAGAAAATTGTAACTGTTAAAAGTTTTACATAAGCTACAACTTTTAGGAGAAGACCCAAAGACAGTTTTCTTCTTCTTTTTTTCTGGGGGAATGACAGTGGGTCTCAGCCAGAACCTGCTGCATCACTGTTGCTGCCCTATTTCTGAGCTACACTTCTAGCCTGACAAAGCTGGCTTTTTAAAAAATATATTTTTTAAAGCTGGGCATGGTGGGGCTGGAGAGATGGCTCAACAGTTAACACTGTTCTTGCAGAAGATCCCGGTTCGAATCCAGCACCCACATGGTAGCTAACAACTCCAGTTCCAGGGGATCTAACAGCCTCTTCTGTCCTTTGAGGGCATTGCATGACTCGGGTGCACTTACCTACATGCAGGCAATACACACATACACATAAAATTTAAAAAATAATAAAATATTTAAAGCTGGGAATGATGGCACATGCCTTTAGTCCCAGCACTCAGGAGGCAGAAAATTCTGGGGGTAGGCAGTCATGCTAAGTTTGGGGAGGGGAACAACGCACAGTTTGAAGAAGGATGGTGAAGTCAAGGCCAGAGATAATATCCTGAGATGGAGTGATTTGCACCATGGATCCAGGCAGACTATCTTTGAATACATTATTTTAATATTATATATATTTTATATAAGTGTTTTGCCTGTATGTATGTAGGTGCATCATGTGTGTGCAGTGCCCACAGATGCCAGAAGAGGGTGTGGGTTGCCTGGGAACTGGAGTTTTGGGTTGTTAGCTGCCATATGGGTGCTGGGAACCAAATCTGGGTCCTCTGCAAGTGCAGCCAGTGCTCTTAACTACTGAGCTGCCTCTCCAGCCCTGTGAGAAAGCTGTGTTTTTTTTTTTTTTAACTTATTTTTATTTCATGTATGAGTGTTATACTTGTATGTATGTAAATGCACCTGTGTTGTGCAGTGCCTGGGAGGCCAGAAAGGATATTGTTTCCCCCTGGAACTGGAGTTATGTATGGTTGTTAGCTACCATGTGGTACTAGGGATTTGAACCCTGGTCTCCTGCAAGAGCCATCTCCCTAGCCTCAAGAAAGCTGTTTTTTTTTTTTTTTTTAAATTTTTTTTTTTTTTTATGGGGGTAAGTGTTATGCCTGCATGTGGGTAAGGCCACCCGTGTCATGCAATGCCCGCGGAGGAAAGAAGAGGCTATCGGATCCCCTGGAACTGGAATTATGGACAGCTGTTAGCTGCCATGTGGGTGCTGGGATTTGAACCTGGGTCCTCTGCAAGAACAGTCAATGTTCTTAACCACTGAGCCATCTCTTTTTTTAATTAATTAATTTTTTTTTTTTTTGAGACAGGGACTTACTGTATAACCCTGGCTGGCCTGTAAATCACCTCTATATAGACCAGGGTGGCCTTGAACTCACAGAGATCCTCCTGCCTCTGGCTCTTGAATGCTGAGATTAAAGGCATGAGCCACTGTGCTTGGGTATCTGTTGATTTGATGAAGCATGGACAACTATGTAGAATGTGATCAAAAAGAGTATGACCAGTGCTAGTAGACTGAGGAATCTCAGCAGGACTGTCCAGATTTCTTTTGTGGTATGCAGTAGGTCCATTTCTGATAATGTAGATATGTAGATATGTAGATATGTAGCCCTGGTTGGCTTGGAACTCACTAAGTAGACCAGGCTGACCCCCAACTTCAGTGATTGTTCTGCCTGTCTCGGGTTACAGGTGTGTGCCAACATGCCTGGAGTGTTTTTTTGTTTGTTTGGTTTTGTTTTTGTTTTTTAAAGACAATAACACTATATAGCTCAGGCTTGCCTGGAACTTGGAACTTGCTTTGTAGACTCGTGTGTGTGTGTGTGATGTATGATTGCATGTACATGTGTATGTGTAGGTGTGCACACAGAGACCAGTGGAGGCCACTGAGTGTCTTTCTGTACTGTGCTCCACGTTATTCCCTCAAGATGAGAGTCTCACTGAACCTGGAGTGTATTATTTTTCAGCTCGGCTGGCTCACGAGCTAGCAAACCCTAGCAGTGCTCCTGTCTCTGCTGCTGCCAGTGCTGAGGTTATAGGCAGCATGGTTATACCCAGGTTTTGTGTAGTGGCTGGGGATCAGAACTTAGGTTCTCATGCTTGTACAGCAAGTACACTTACCCACTGTGCCATCACCCCAGCATCCAGACACCTGCTTTTTATTTTAATTTAAAAAATTTTATGTGTATGAATGTTTTGCCTGCATATATGCAAGTTCATCACAGGTGTGCAATGCTCACAGAAACCAGAAGACGGCATTGAATCCCCTGTAATTGGAATTAGGGACAGTTTGCTGCCAGGTCCTCTTGAAGAGAGGCCAGTGCTCTTAACCACTGGGCTATCTCTCCAGCCCCTTTATTTATTTATTTATTTATTTATTTATTTAGGTTTTTTTGAGACAGGGTCTCCCTGTAGCCCCAGCTGTCCTGGAACTTACTATGTAGACCAGGCTGGCCTTGAACTCACAGAGATTTGCCTGCCTCTGCCTCCCCAGTGCTGGGATTAAAGGCATGCACCACCACGCCAGGTCCAGCCCCTTATTTTTAATTTTAAAAAATTATTTTTATATTGTGTGTATGAATATTTTGTCTGTGTGTGTAAGTGCACCACGTGTGCATTGCCTATAGAGGCCAGAAGAGGGCATCAGATCCCCTGGAACTGGAGTTCTGCATGATTGTTAGCCACCATGTGGGTGCTGGGAACCAAACCTGGTCCTCTGCAAGAACAGCCAGTTCTCTTAACTGCTGAGCCCCCTCATTTTTAATCTCTCTAGCCCCCTTATTTTAATTTTTGAGATAGGCTCTCACTCTGTAGCCCCCACTGACCTTGAATTTGTGATCTTCCTGCCTCAGTCTCTCTAGTGTCGGGGATGATAGGTGTAAGCTACCATACTCTCCTGCTTATGGACTCTTTCTCAGAAAAATAGTTTCCTTCTACCTCCTTCCCTTTAAAATATGTTTTCTAAGGGGATAAAGAGATGGCTCGATGGTTAAGAACACTGGTTGTTCTTGCAGAAGACCTGGGTTTGAATCTCAGCACCCACATGGCAGCTAAGAACTGTCTGTAACTCCAGCTCCAGGGGATCCGACAGCCTCTTCTGTCCTCAGCAAGCATTGCACGACACGGGTGCACTTACCTATATGCAGGCAATACATGCATACACATAAAATAAAAATAAAATTAAAAAAATGTTTTATCATTAGAGAGAGAAAGGAAGAGAGGGAGACAGGTAGAGAGGGAGAGGAGATGGCATGAGGTCAGAGGATAACTTTCAGGAGTTGGTTCTCTCCTCCCACTTTGAGTCCCATGGATCAAATTCAGGTTGTCAGGCTTGTACAGAAAGTGCTTTTATTGGCTGAACCACCTTGCTGGCCCCTCCCTCCTTTCTTTCCAAGACAGGGTCTTGCTATATCGCCTTGACTGGCCTTTCCTGCCTCAACAGAAAAATAGTCAAATGTACAAAATGAGCTGGTTATGGTGGCACATGCTTGAAATCTCAGTACTCTGGAGGCTGAGGCTAAAAGACCTTGAATTCCAGCTCTGCTTAAGACATAGTGAGACCCTGTCTCACAAAAATGGGAAAGAAATGTAGCTCAGTGATAGAGTACTTACCTAGCGTGTATGAGGCCCTGGGTTTGTTTCCTATTACAAAGGAAATAAACTATATTGAGTTATAATTTTCAAAGTAATAGTCCTGCATGGTATCACACACCTGTAATTTCAGTACTTAGGAGACTGAGGCAGGATGTTCACAAGTTTGAGGCAAGTTTGGGCTATTGTAGCAAGACCCTGTCTCAAAAAAAAAATGTTTCCTTTGTAGTTATGCATACCTTATTATTAAAGGAGTCATTCCAGCAGTGTATAATTTTTTAAATTTTAAAGTGGTAAGGATTGTAAATAACCTTTTTTTTTTTTTTTGTCTTTTTGAGATAGGGTCTCCCTCTAGCCCCAGGTGGCCTGGAACTCACTATGGAGATCGACAATACCAGCTCATAAATAACTTAAAAAAAAATTTATTATTTTTATTTTATGTGTATGAGTGTATTGCCTACATGTAGGTAGGTACACTGTGTCATGCATTGCCCTCAGAGGTCAGAAGAGGGCATCAGATCCCCTGGAACTGGAGTTATGGATGGTTGTTAGCTGCCATGTGAGTGTTGGGAAACGAACCCAGGTCCTCTGTAAGAGCAGCCAGTGCTCTTAACCATTGAGCCACCTCTCCAGCCCCCATAAACAACTTTTTAAATGTTTTTTTTTTTTTTAAGATTAAAAATTTATTTAAGTGCACCATGTGGAGGCCAGAAGAGGGTGTCAGATCCCCTGGAAACGGAGTTACAGATGATTGTGAGCCACCATGTGGGTGCTGAGAAATGAACCTGGGTCTTCTGCAAGAATAGACAGTGCTCTTAACTGCTGAGCCATCTCTCCAACCCCAGGATTGTAAATACTTTTTTCCTTCTTCTTCCTGTTATTTTGAGGTATAGGCAACAATTATAAGAAGATATGAGAAATCTCTAATTTAAAAAAATTTTTTTTGTCTTTTTGAGACAGGGTCTCCTTGTAGCCCCAGCTGTCCTGGAACTATGTAGACCAGGCTGGCCTTGAACTCACAGAGATCCTCCTGCCTCTGCCTCCCAAGTGCTGGGGCTACAGGCGTGTGCTACCACGCCTGGCTCTAATTTTTTTTTAATATTATTTTTATTATATGTGTATGAGTGTATTGCCTGCACGTAAGTAAGTGCACCCGTGTCGTGCAATGCCCACGGAGAACAGAAGAGGCCATTGGATCCCCTGGAACTGGAGTTACGGACAGTCGTTAGCTGCCATATGGGTGCTGGGATTTGAACCTGGGTCTTCTGCAAGAGCAACCAGTGTTCTTAACTGCTGAGCCATCTCTCAGCCTGAGAAATCTCTGATTTTAATAGATTTAAAAGTCAGTGGGCGCTGGGTGTGGTGGCACAATGCTTTTAATCCTAGCACTTAGGAGGCAGAGGCAGGTGGATCTCTGTGAGCTCGAAGCCACCTGGTCTACATAGTGAGTTCCAGGCCAGCTGGGGCTACAGGGAGACCCTGTCTCAAAAAGACACCCCCCCC